AAATGAAATTCGGCTCTAGAACTATTCAAGAACTAGCCATCTCATCGACTTTTCTTTTAGCGCCTGATGATTCGCTTGTTGCCCTTTCCCCAACATCACTCTCCCCTTGCCATTCACTAATTTCCCATTCAAATGTCGTTAGTTGGTCGTCGCTGACACCAACACCACGTCGACTTCTCATGATCCGGCCTAGCTGGCTACCTTCAATCATCTGCTCGAACCACGGTATCCCCGCTATTGTTCCTTGTCGACGATGTGTTTCAAATGAAAGCGGCGTTGAAGCTACTGCAGTAGTCGAGTCAGTTGTCGGTGCTGAAACAGCCGTTGATGCACTACTCCGCGATGGTTGGCTTGTTGTTGTTGTCTCTTCATGGCCGGTGGGTTCGGCCACGTCGACTGGCAACAAGTCTAGATCTTCCAACAAACCCAGGTCATCGCTGAATAGGCTGCCGAGCGCCACGGACATGAATTCGGCTTCTTCCCGCGGCGATTCGGTCCAATATGTTAACGGGGTTCCGCAGAAGCCGCAAAAGTTACGCTGCGAATGCGGCGCATGAAGCGGTGTGAATGTGCGTCGGATCGAGGTATGTGTCTCGTCTGGATAGTACGAGATGGTCTGCGATTGAAACCATGTGAGTGGCACGCGAAGCCACGCAGTAAGCGGGGCGCCTTGAGCGTGTCCTTTACAGCCATGGGCAGTTTGGTTAGCACAATGAATGGCACGCGAAGAAAACACATAGAACTGACTGTGATCTCGACTTCCCGAGAAAAAGACCTCGGCCTGGCTGAGCGTATTACCAGGAATAGAGATCGCGTAGCGGTTTCTGCCACAGGAGCAGCCTCCATGCAGGCGCTCTGCAGCGCTCATTGTTTCCATGTTCATGTATCGTAGACTTGTAATGTACTAACTATCACAGGCAGCCAGGGAGGAGTAGAAGCGGTCGAACTTGGTGGCGGGCCTTGGCTTAGCAACCGCCGTTCATTGCTACATCTGATCTGAGCGCTCTGCAGGCTGGATAGTCCTGGCTGCAGACACAGGAAAATTGTCGTGGACGAAGCGAAGCATTCCTCGACGTCGAAAGATGGCGATGACGTCGTCGCAGCGGGCATGCCAAGCGGCCTGGACCTCGGTGTTCCGGAGCCGGACATTCGCAGTCACGGATCTGCTCCTGCAGCCTTAAAGCCTTAAAAGCGTCTCCGCTTTCCGCCATCTGGAGTCAAGCAACTCCCGCTTTCCCGCTGCGTCTCGTCTCTCGTCTCTCGCCTCTCTTCTCTCGCCTCTCTTCGCGGCGCTTCTCTTCTCTCTTTGCATATATATCACACGGCTGGACCCAGCTTGTCTCGCTCTTTTCTCACGGCCTAATTAGTTCGATCTCCTACCCGTGTTACCCATGACCAGTATCCCACTTGCCGATCCTATCCGCCTTTGCGACTAGACACCTCAGCATCTCAACACGGCCATCTATACTTCTATTTATACCCCGATCATACTATATATATACACTCATTCTATATAATGTCCGCCCAGGGTAGCTCCATGTCTCCGGATCCGCAAGATCAGAATGGTGCTGGCCGCCGAACAGATCGAGGCCGCGATTCAGTCTCGAGCAATGACCCTTCCGGCGCAGGCGCGGAGGGCGCCCAGGATAAACCGCGTCTGACCGAGCAGGAGAAGAAGAACAACCATATCGCATCTGAACAAAAACGCCGTGCCGCGATTCGCGAGGGATTCGACCGTCTCACCGAACTGGTGCCCGGCCTGGAAGGGCAGGGGCGCAGTGAGAGCGTGGTGCTGAAGAAGACTGTGGACTTTCTGCGCCTGAAGCTGCAGGAACGACAGGAGCTTGTCGCTGAGATTGAAAGAATTGGTGGTCATGTCGATGAGGCATACCGTAGGGGCTGATCACAAGATACTGCCTCCGGATTCTGTGCGAGGCAGAATCCTACGGTTTCTGTTACAAACTGGACTTAACGTCTAACAACAATACGCTCGGCTGGAATCGACGCAATTTTTGAGAATCTGTGGCTTTTATTGAATCTCATTTTGGTCGTTTTGCTTTGTGTTGCTAGTGCTGCAACTCTCAATGTCGCTGCTTCGATGCGCGCGTCTGAGCGATTCTGCTTTTCAGAATCTGGCCACTTAATATTGGGGAGGAAAACGTCAAAGGGATTTCCACAACAGTAGAGACTGGAAAACATACTGTTTGATTCCAGCAGTATTCGTATGGCACGGTGTATACGACAAACTTGCCAATGGCTACCTGCGTGATCTACGTTTCTGCGATGATCAATATTTGTTCGCCGTTAATCTCGGGTTACCAGATGCAATCAAGTGTTGACTTCGGCCAATCCGTATGTGGCATACAACGCACATCAAGAAAAAACAACACTCATTGAACAGGTACAGAGTGGCAGTTTTGACTATATGAGTGACCAGGTACCACCGGACAAAACAGTGCTGTTGAAATCAAAAAAAATATACAGTATGAGCGGATCGTTGTGGTTTAGTACGAGCCCTCCCTCTATTATTCCTAATGCCAGTAACTATATTATTTTCCGTTATATGTATTATATATTTATTCATCTAATACTACACATGCTAGCATAGTACTTGGTGTATTCACTTCTCAGTTTCAAGATGATTTAATGATCTTTTACCCTTGCACCAGTCAAACATTCAGTGTAAGCAATGACAAAGAACATGCTTAAGCCTTTGCACGTATGAATAAAGACATCGAATTTTGTGTTTGTCGGTTTCAAGTTTGAGGATGCCACTGGTTGTCTTTCAACTCCTCTCTCTCACTTTTTTTTTCTGACAGGTCATAATAGTGGAGCTTCTCCTGTTTGTACAACGTTCACATATTTTCTTGAAAGAACCACTCACTCCTTTCAACTTGCAATATTGTGTCCAAAGGATGACAGCAGAAATGCGTATGAAACGGGGTTTTTTCTTTGGTATTTCGCCAACTGTCACACTCTTTTGTCGTGATATTCCAGATGTCTTAATATAAAAAACCCTCTTCATCACCTTGTCTGGAGATATCCTAATGCATAAACATACTCTGACTACTCTGACATTCTACGCACATCGATATCTCTTACACAATCTTCAATACATACGTTTACATATCTACAGGATATGGCTCCTCTAGCAACAACCACACAGAAACCCGTTGTACATGGAACAAGTGTACGTTACTACAACATGGAGAAGAAAAAGAAACCAAACATTTGCTGATAGTCTTTCCACAGGATAACCAGGTAGCTAGCCCCAACGGCCCAAAATCTAAGAAGAACAGAAGGAAAGCCGCCAAAAAGCCGAAGAACGAGAAGAAACCCGAGCCTCAAGGCGCAAAAGAGACAAAGGAAGCCATTCCCCCGAGGACCAGATTGCCTTTTGTTGACCTCTCGTTGCCGGGGACGGCTAAAACCACGCGGACCGGAAAGACCACTCCCCTGAAAACCGATACAGTACCCAGCGATAACAAAGTCTGTGTACAGGAGACTCAGGCTAAGGAACTGATAAGTAATATACCTTCCGAGGGAGTCTTCAGGGTACCACGGCATAAGTGTATACCGGATACTCAGGCTAAGGAACCGACAAGTAATACAGCTTCCGAAGGGGTCTTCAGGGTACCACGGCATAAGTCTGTACCAGAGACTCAGGCTAAGAAACCGGCAAGTAATACAGCTTCCGATGGAGTTTTCAGGGTACCTCGGTATAAGTCTGTACCAGAGAGTAAAGCGAAGGTAATTTTCCTTTCAAATGGAGGTTTCTATTACCCTATCTTGAAACCCGGGTCCAAATTCGGGGCCTTTAATTTGCCCTCTTCTAGTCCCATCGAAATGATTGAAGTCAATGAGACAGATTACTCTAACTGGACTCTTCCACAGTATCCTGTGATCAAGCCGGAGGAAAACGTATAGGCGGGCGAGATTTCTTCGAGACAATCTTTGGATAATGTGCTTTCGACATGGAGATTTTGGATATAAGGATCCTTTCATGGTTACATATTTAATTACTCTTCTGGAATCTTACGTTTATACTGTACAGTTCTACTTATCAAAACCGTTATTTCTGAGTATTCTGAATGCTGATGAGACGCAAAGCATAGATTTACCGAAGTAGGAAACTAAACATTTATTCTTATAAATTAGAGCCACATTTAAACATAACGCTAGGATATATTAAAACAGAGAAGATTTCTAGTTCGTGAGTTGTGGTTGAAATTTCTTCGATGAAAGGAACGTGGCGCACAAAGTAGATGAGAGGTCTCGGAATGAATCTTGTACACTTTAGGAGTTCGTGGTCGAATGAACCATATTTGCGACTCTGTTTAGCATTTGGGCATTGGGTCTTTGGATGAGCGTGTCTTGCAAGGACACAGGGGGCATGATGCTCGCGTGAATCCGACGCTGCCACATCCCCAACAGCCCCTGGTATCTTCGTATATAACCATTTTGGAAATTGGAGTAGACAAAGTGCCAGAGTTAAAGAAAGATTAGATTGAGGCAGTGGCATTGGGTAATTCGAAAAGCATAAGCAAAAATATCAATTTGTTAAGAAACCAAACAAGAGTAAGAAAAAGGAGGGGAGGAAGACCTTTGAGGTAATTTACATGATGAATAGCTGGGCTATGTGGGAAATATTTTTCTCTTACCTCCGTATTCTCCGCTTGAACTTATCATATCGCTCCTATGGGTTAAAACTTTGAGCCATTCACTGTGCTTGGAATCGTGACAGGTCACTATTCTTTATCTCGTTGCTAATAAATCTCTTACATTTATTTTAAAGAAACTAGAAATATATCTCAGTAGGAACTATACAGAAGTGTGTTACGGTGATATACTGGTTAGTCACTACATATTTCATTTAAGTCATGTATTTACCTTCTCCGATATTCTGGGATCTAATCTATACGTAAATAAGCTGCTCATAAATCAAGTAAAAGGTATCCCCACCGCTACCAAGGCCACTAACCTATTGGTTAGATGTCTAAGCCTGGCTAACTCAATTGGCAGAGTGTCAGACTTTTAATCTGAAAGTTCGGGGTTCGACCCCCCGGTCGGGCGTTTTTTTACCCTCAGTTTCCCTATCTCACCGCCTTTTTTTTTTTGCGTGAGAACTTCTGGCAGAATCTTCTCTGTCGAGTAGGTTGTCAGACCGTTTTTCCCAGCTAGATATGGTATCTCTTTGTATGTAAGTAAACTGGTATGTATAAAAATTATTTATTGCAGAGAATATTGCAGAAAATAGTAGATTCCTCAAGATACGGGCGCGGATCCTCTCGAAAGAGCATTTTTGAACAAACCCGTCCAAAGGGGATTAAAAAACTAGAAATGTTGTTCATTCCAGACACTAGAACCGAGCTTGTTTAACAGCGCGACTTGAAATTTGATAACAGACGCCTAGTTACATCGCGGGCAATATGCATAACTAATCTCCGCGCAAGATGACCGACTAACCTAACCTCTCCCGCTGCGAACCTTCTGTCCCCAAATTAGCTAGTTAACCACTGTCGGCAATGGCACAGGAAACCTCATTTGCCCTGATTACGGGCTGCAGCAGTGGCATCGGAAAAGAACTGGCTATAGCTTTTGCAGCGAAAGGAGTCACCGTCCTCGCCACGGCCAGACGTACTGAATCGCTAAAAGAATTGACAAGCCAGCACCATAACATCGAAGCCTTTGCGCTCGACCTCGATGACCTCACAACTATCGACAGTCTGAAAGAAGCCGTCGAAAAGCGAACAGACGGCCGGCTCGATTATCTGGTCAACAATGCCGGCACGCATTACGCAGCCACGTGTATGGACTTGGAAATCAGCGAAGTCTCAAAGCTCTTTCAGGTCAATGTTTTTGCAGTCATGCGCCTGTGTCAAATCTTTGTTCCCCTGCTTCGCCGCTCGCCCCGTGCGCGCATCGTGCAGATTGGGAGTGTGACGCGAGCTGTTCCAGTTGTATGGCAGGGCGTCTACAACGCTTCAAAAGCCGCGTTGAGCCAATTTTCGAAAACTATGCGTTTGGTGAGAAAGTTTCCTTTGGAATAGAAAGTGGGATCCATTTCTCTAATAAGATTTCAGGAATTGGAACCTTTCGGCATAGAGGTTGTCGAGGTCGTTGCCGGATTTGTCCGCAGTAATCTCCTCCATCACGGCCTCGTTGCTCCGAGCGAGTCGCTATACCTCCCAATCAAGAGCACCGTCGAGGATGCCAAACTAAAAGGCAATGAAAACGGTATGCCGGCAGAAGAGTTTGCGAAGTCGGTGGTTGACCAGGTGACGCGCCGGCGGACGAGCATGGAGATATGGCAAGGCAAGCTAGCATGGCCTCTTCGAATTCTCACTAGTTATTTTCCTTTGTGGATTGTGGTAAGTGGCTTTTTATTTCTCTTCAGAAAATAAACCTGACTATTTCACAGAATTGGGTCATGTTTCGCAGGTTCAATCTTCGTTTGTTAAACCCTTCGCGTGGGGGGTGAATGATGGAGGCTTGGTGTCTTTGCTGATTGTATTAACTTGAGATCGGAAGATGGCTTTGTTTTGATATATACACTTCAAGAATACTTGCTATATGACAAATTATAATATCAGTCACAGGGGTATTCGTTTTACTAAAACCACAATGACTCTCGACATTGTCCAGGCTCTGACTGAGGATTATATTTGAAGTGTGTTGCGAATACATTGTGAGGCCATATTTCTCGAAACTTGGCTTCCAGTAAGCGAAGAAATATACAACCGAGAACAGAAGAGGTCAAACTTTGCGACTGGCAAGGTGGTGATTGTGAAGAAAGACGGGGTTATGTGGAAAATACCACTTACATCAGTACCTGCCTCAGGCAACCTCGGTCACGTGTGGTAAACAAAGACAGCATAACTATTCATTCTGCCAGCACAAGGGCTTTGTTTTTCTACCTTCATCTTACACAAACCTCACTCGGTCATCACAACACAAGCTGGACGTCAGCATCGCCCACGTTAACGCAGCCTACTGTGTTCACCATGAACCCGTACAAGTTTGGAGCAGTCCATCAGACTCATCTCGGATCCCTTAATGAAAAACATCTCGCTGTTGTCAAACTTGCTCGAGGAGGTCAGGAAAAGGCTTTCATCTTACGACTCCCCACCGAAGTTCTCTTCGAAATTTTCAAATATATCCGCAAAGTTGGAAGTGTATCTGGAGGCAAATATACCGTCATGAAGAGACTAGCCCTGGTATGCCGCCGGTTCAACGATATTGTCCTGCTTCTCTTCTATCATGACGTTATCGTTAGTGTCAGAGGGCAATCAAATGTATCATTGAAAAAACTACATGCTGTCTTGCGAGACAAGCCCTGGATCCGGGAGTATTGCAGAATACTAGATTTGAGTCTTGCGTACGAAGGCCCTGTAACCAAGGACACTATCTCCATGGTGGATACTTTGTTCTCCTATCTCACAAACTTGCGCACCCTGAAGATTGCTTGTGGGCCAAAACAATTCCCGCACGACACTGTGGAAATGATCCAGATTGCCACCCAGCATATGTATCAAATTGAAACCCTAATATTCAACCACCACTGTTATACTTCCTTTTCTCAAGAAATTCTCAAACATGTCAGCTTTCCATCGCTTCGACCTTTAGAGATTGAAGGGTTATGGAGGCGGAAGGCCAGATTCAGACATACCAGCATCCCAGAGCCAAAGGTAAGTTCAACTTCCCCCCTTTTCTTTCGATTGTATCATGACAAATAACCCATCCATCTTGCTAGATGCATCGCACTGGCACATTTACCTCACTCATCGTTCATAGTTACGAGGAGAACCCCGAAGAACTGAAGCAGCTAATCCAGTGGCCGGCATCCTTAGTGCATTTTCAACTCTTCAAATTTTGCAACCAAAATTACATGGATCTTCCGATCCTTGGACAGTGGCTATCAATTCACAAGAAGACTCTTAAGACCATGCAAATCGGCTGTCTCTCTAAAGAAAGCCGCGGGATACTCTTTGATTTGTCTAAATTCGCGAAACTAGAAGCCTTGCTACTTTCATGGGACCAGCTGAGAAAATGGCGACCTCAAGACGAGGACGAAGATGCAGATGAAGGTGCAGCTGAATACGAAGACGAAGATGGGGATGAGGATGAAATGGAGGACGAGGGGTTTGAAGAGTTTGGATTTTCTGAGGAGGATGCGGATTCATTGCTTGGTCCTAATCTCCGCATTTTTGCTGTGGCGTTCAGTGCGATCCCGAGGACCCTATATGCCGGCAGTACTTTGGAGAAGCAGAAGAGCACTGGTTTAGAGAGTTCGCCAAAGCCGCAATAGCTAGGAAAGCCGCCCTCCAGGAGATTTACATCTATTTTAACCCCCCTCTCCAGAGTTCAAGAAAGAATATGGTTATCCATGGGACCGCATGGATAGGATTTGTGAAGAAATCCAGCCGTACGGATTGTCACTTGAGTATAATGAGCCCTTCTGTACGAAGCTGGAATGCATGGATTATGTGCAGAATCAAACTCCAGATGCGGATTTGCGGTCGAGCTCTACGGAAAGAAAGGATCTTCGGGGCTATTTTGAGAGTACGTTTCATGGGTAATTTTTAGGTGATGAGTATTAGCATAAATTTGTGCGAGCTGTAGATAGTCCTAGAGAAACAAAAGCGTATTCATTCTGTTTAGGGAATATTTCAACCTAAAGGAATCTGTAGATTTTGATACCAAACTAAAATAATTCATGACATCTCTGGGTTGTTCCAATTAAATCTCCTTATGGCATCTGGACCCATATTCCTAAGCATACTGGGTAATCCTCAACGCCTAGGAATTGATAAACACTATACTATTCATATTCTAGATTATTCTCTTCATGTATGGCTAGCTCCAACAAAATTAAGAGTAAGATAGATAGACAATGAACTCTGGAAATGGTTTTTTATTCGAGATCAAGACAAGACAGCTCAGGAGCTAAACGGCTTATGTGAGGCGGATATTTAAGAAATAACCCATTTTTCTATTCAATGTCAGTGTTCCTCGACCTAGAACAAGGATAACAAGTTATTAATATGATCAAGAAATTTCATCATGGTTGTACATTGCTAATAAAAACATGAAAAACGTAATTACACAGTCTATAATAACATGTAGGATATCATCAAAATACAAAGTAAAAGTTTTCTGCTCTCCTCTATACAGACACTAGAACACTAATCATGAGCGCCGGCTGTTGATTTTATCAACAATATAAACGACCAACATAGTGATTGGGCCGCCAATAATTCGACGCTGACGGCGTGGCTTCTGTTGAGGAGGTGACGTCGAAATGTAGTTTCCGGCGGCATATTGCGGCTGGCCCATCTCGGCTACGGTGGTAGTCTCATACACAGCCTTATCCCTCACATCAAGCGTTAATCCAGTGATGAGCATGATGTAGACGATGATGATCTCTTCAATAATAACCATAACCAGCTGGATGGTGACGTTGCCGGTGATCATGCGGAAGCTGGAGTTGTGACTGAGAATGGAAATCATCGAGTAGGCCAGTCGAATCAGCAGGAGCGGGACACAGAACATGACAGCCCATACTAGACGGTGCTCTCCGTGCTCAATACTGCTGTAGCGAGCAAGCATCATGAAAACCACAATCGAGAGGCCGATCCAGGCTACAAGGTAAATGATAACACCAACTTTTGTTTCTGTGCTATGCATGCCCTCAGCTATGTCGGAGCTGCTGGTCACGCCAACGATGCTGAGAATCGCAGCAAGAATGGTGACGAGGGCGAGAATGCGAAAGATCATGGGCGAATATGCATGCCCTGTTTTTCTTTGCATGGAATCGTTTCTGTTATTTTCCACGCCGTTAGCGCCCCGGTACAGTGATATTATAGGAAGTAAAACCTTACACTCGAGACAGGTTATAAGCGAGACCCAACGTGAGAGGCGACATTCCAACTGAGCTGCACACAGCCCATGCTGTGTACAAGCTGACGTTGTCAGGGCTGCTCAGAGTCGCCAAGTAGCAGCAGTTTCCGATTATTCGAAGAAGCGAGAAGATAATAAAGAGAAGCCATCCGGAGCTGCGGGCGAATCCATGG